GTGCCCGTCTGCGGCCGGCGCTGGGCGCGGGTGTGCTCCGGCGCTGAGGCTGGAGGGGAGCCGTGCCCGGGGGGGCTTATGCAATTGACTCTTACATAATGGTCTTCAGCACATTGCTTTAATTAGCATAGCTACGGGGGGTGTCCTGGGCGGCAGCGTCTGCACGCCCAGACGGGGAAGGAACCTGTGGAGGCGAGAGCTGTAGGGCAGTGAGTAGGGATGGCTCAGAAATGTGCTCCAGGACTGATCAATGCTCCGTGACCTCAGGCAAGCACATGTCTACGTGGTATTAGCAACTCTGCTGCTAGGAAAAAAACCAACCAGCTCGCTGTCTGTCAGCCAGCTGGTGTGAACAGGGTCGGTTTGTTTAAAACAGTTTCTATCAGAATGTGGAAGTGCTCATTGTTTCAATCTCACGTGGCTCAGAGGGTGGGAAGAGAAAGAAGGAAACATGGAACAGGCAATGGCCTGAGAAAAGTTGGCAAACACAGAGGCTTCTCTTGCTCTGTTGGTGCTTTCTGGGTTTAGCTGTTGCTGGAGTTGGCAGTGTTGGCTGCCTTCCTGTTAGCTTTATTTTGGTTGTGTTCTCTCTGCAGTACAACAAAAGGCATGGGTTGTGTTGGTGAGGTGCCAGTGTCCCAGGAGACTGCTGGCGAGCCTTGGGCACTGAACTGGCACTGCCTTTTCCATCTGCTCTCCTGACATCAGCAGTAAAATTATGCTGTCTCTTTGCCTGTCCTCACAGGGTCCCCAGAATTATGGTGGTGGGCTGTGTTGGAATGCTTCTCTACTCTTGAATGTGTTCAACATGGTTAGAACAGTTCAGAAATGATTTGTGACATGTTGCTTTGGTGTTCCAAGTAGGAATTTCAGAGAAGTCCTTGGGTTTTATCAGTAGGCCTTCTGTTTGGAATAGTTCAAGTGCATTTTTAGCTTCATGCGACTGATCTAGCTGGTTGCTTGTTATTTCTAACAAACCAGTATTGCAGTAACATGCAGCATCTCTGGGCTGAGACCTGGAGCAAGTGGTGCTATGGGCCACCTGAAAGTGATTGAGAGCTCACAGAAACTGTATTGTTCTCACTGGCTGCTAGTGTGGTCTTATGGGAGCAATTGTACTTGCAGTGCTACCATACTGTGAGGTTTTGAAATCCACGGGGCAAATTTCTGCTGTGAGAAAGCATCTGGTTGTACTTAGCAATATCCTACAGCCTGAATACCTTATTGAAAGTGGGAGACAGTGTGATGGACCTCCCCCATGGCAACTGAAGAACTTCAGCTGTTGCCCGAGGTTTCAGTGCTGTTGGCAGCTGAGCTCTTCACAGCTGTTCGTTCTGATTGATGCTCCAAATGAACAAGGCAAATTGTGAACCTGTAAGAGCTGTCAGTGTAACTTTGTTCTAACTTCCGCTGCATGGATGTGCACAGTGCCCTGGCCAATGCAATGATTAACCTGCACAGAATCTGCCTTCAGCTGTGTGAAAGATCCTGCCTGCATGAAGGTTGTTTTAAGATCTTGAAGGTAAAAAAAAAAAAAAGAACAGCTGAGCTCATAAGCTGTAACAGAATTGGAAAGGTGTAGACTGGTTTGTTCTGGTTGTGTGGATCATGGTAACTCATATAAATCATTAACTGGCCACATCTCTTAGCCTTCCCATAGGGCTTAAGTACTGATTTTCTCTTGGGTCTGATATTTAGAGTCTGTTAATAGAGTTGTACTCCAGCAGGCTTTTTTTGAAAGTTGTGAATTAAGTGTCACTTAAGTTCCTATTTTCCAGCTCGTTGGATCTGTTTGCTGTGTTGTGTTAGATGAGGCTTTTCACTGTGCAGTTTCCAATAACATTTCTTGCTAATGTTGCCATTTCTTCTTAGCATGGTCACAATGAGGAAAAACCTGTCTGTAACATAAAATTTATCCTCTCTGAGTTAACTGGAGAGGAGCAGTCATATCCTAAGGTTATAATTAAGTGATGTATCACTTTGAAGATGCCTCTATCTATAGCAATCTCTTTGAGAAAAAAAGTTCTGAGTATCTCTGAGAGCTCTACACTTGCTTTTGTATTGCTGTGTAGAAAGCTGCTTGTGAACCTCTGAAGTCTTACTCCTGTTCTGTGCTTACATTCCAGGCTGTAGAGGACATTCTGTGTTGCTGAAAGAAGGTGCTTCTATTTGTGGAGTGACTTATGATGTCAAGAACTGTATCATCCTGGATCTTAAGCTCAGCAAGAAACAGCATTGTTTTCCAAGGGAGAGGACGCCGGTACTCCATCAGCATCCCAAACAGAAACAAGCTAAAATGGAAGCTGGTTTTCTCCAAAACACATCTCTCCCCTGCTGGGAGCTGCAGCTTAGACAGCACTTTCTCCTCACAGAAAGCATTCCGACACACTTCCACCGAAGAAGAACACTTTTCTTTCCAGCTGTCTCCGTCACAAATCAACGATATACTCCGAGCAGGGGAATTATCCCACAAAACACTGGATTTGAATGGTAATAGTGCAAATTCCGTGCTGAGGTTTGAGAGCAACCAGCTGGCATCCAACAGCCCTATCGAGGACCGGCGGAGCGCAGCCACGTGCCTGCGGACGGCAGGGATGCTGTTCGGGGTGTTCGACGGCCACGCGGGTGCCGCGTGCGCCCAGGCCGTGAGCGAGAGGCTGCTGCAGTACATCGCCGTGTCCCTCATGTCCCGGCAGGCCCTGGAGGAGATCGAGCTTGCTGTGGAGTCCATGAAGCCAGTTCGGCCTATCCTGCAGTGGCACAAGCACCCCAGTGATGTGGAGTATGAAGAGATAACCTCCCAGTACTTTGAGAACCTGCGGGTTTACTGGCAGCATCTGCTGGACCTGGACTCCGAGCCAGGGTTTAGCTTAGAGGAGGCCATGATATGTGCATTCAAGAGGTTAGATTCAGACATATCACTGGAAGTTCAGGCTCCTCAGGAAAATGAATTGATGAGAAATATTGCGCTTCAAGTAGCTTTTTCTGGTGCCACGGCCTGTGTAGCTCATGTTGATGGTGTTCACCTACACGTTGCAAATACTGGTGATTGCAGAGCAGTTCTAGGGGTTCGTGAAGAAGATGGAACATGGTCCACTCTCCCTCTAACCCGAGACCACAATGCCTATGATGAGTTCGAAATCAGAAGATTGAAGAGAGAACATCCTAGATCTGAGGAGAAAACCCTCTTTGTGAATGACAGATTGCTGGGGATTCTCATGCCCTCCAGAGCTTTTGGAGATGTGCAGTTAAAATGGAGTAAAGAATTGCAGCACAGCATTCTGGAGAACAGCTGTGATGTTGAGGCTTTAAATATTTATCAGTATGTTCCTCCAAACTACCATACACCTCCTTATTTGACTGCAGAGCCTGAAGTCACATACCACAAGTTAAGGAGCAAGGATAAGTTCCTTGTTATTGCTTCGGATGGGCTGTGGGAGATGCTGAGTAATGAGAAGGTTGTAAAACTTGTTGCTGGGCACCTTACAGAGCTTAGTGTGCAGAAACCCCAACTGACTTTTAAGAAACCAGTTAATTTGGGTTACATGCACAACTTGTTGCTGCAGAGGAAAAGCAGAGGCCTGGCCTCCCTAGACCAGAACATAGCCACTCACTTGATAAGACACGCGATTGGCAGCAACGAGTACGGGGAGGTGGACCACGAGAAGCTGGCTGCAATGCTGGCACTGCCTGAAGACCTGGCCAGAATGTACAGAGATGATATCACGGTGACTGTGATCTATTTCAATTCAGAAACAATTGACAATTACTACAGAAACAATGAATAGAGACTTCCACTGCTACTGTTGTATACCACTAGCAAACTTTGATACTAAACCACTCCTCTTGTCCTCTGATAGTCAAGCTGTTACCAGTGTTATGGTCTGGAAGTTCCTAAATCTTTTTGTTACTTACAAGTTTTGAAAATAACTTTCTAGGAGCAAATTTGGTGCAAGCTCCCTGGGTTTCCAGGTCACTGAAGAAAAATGTTTTCATAAACTTCACCGAACTAAAGATTGCTGACCCAGTCCTGATTCCATGAGAACCTCTAGTAAAACCTCCCAAATGAGCAAATGAGACAAATTTCACTGAGACTGGTGCAATTTAATAGAGAGATGGATAATAGGTGTAGCTGCATGGAGTGTCAGAAGGGCTCTGCTCTTGTGGAAAACGAGTAGCATCCTTTTGAAGCACTGTAATGGAATTCAATAAATTAACTGCCAAATCTTTGGTTGATGTGTCAAATATTTTAACAAATTACCTCCTATATATGAAGCAACATGAAAGAGCTATGAGGCTGGTGAAGGGACTCGAGCACAAGTGCCATGAGGAGAGGCTGAGGGAGCTGGGGTTGCTCAGCCTGGAGAAGAGGAGGCTCAGGGGAGACCTTATCACTCTCTACAACTCCCTGACAGGAGGTTGGAGTCAGGTAGGGGTTGGTCTCTTCTCCCAGGCAACCAGCAGTAGGACAAGAGGGCACAGGCTCAAGCTCTGCCAGGGAAGGTTTGGGTTGGATATTAGGAAGATATTTTTTCCGAGAGAGTAGTCAGGCATTGGATTGGGCTGCCTGGGGAGGTGGTGGATTCACCATCCCTGGAGGTTTTCAAGCTGAGACTGGATGTGGCACTTAGTGCCATGGCCTAGTAACCACGGTAGGGTTGGACTCAATGATCTTTGAGGTCTTTTCCAACCTGGTTGGTTCTATGATTCTATGAAAGAAGGCTCTTCAAGGAGCCCTGGGATTGTCAGATGTCTCTTTTCCTAATTTTCTTCCTTAAGCTAGGAAAAAAATTGTATTTTCTTCTGCAATTATTAAGTATGAGTGCATGTTCTCTTAGCTCTGTGTGAACTTATGTGACAACTTACAGCTCAAACACACATGAGGGTCTTCAGGATTTTAGGATTCCACAGTACTAGACAGAGCAAAAGAGAGCGACTTTCTCTTAGATGTAGCAGGAAATAACAGTGCTGATATTTCACCTAATATCTTTAATCTGTTATTCTTGCTTTTGGACATCAGCTTTTCCTTCTAGGTACAGAGCTATTTCCTCTAATGAGTGCATGTCCAAGTCTCTGAACATGCACTTTTGTGTATTTTACAATGGTTTTCTTTTATACTGTGCTTTCTCAAGTGCCATCCAAGCTTGCAAATTAGCTTTTACATGTGTTTCTACAGTGACTCTCTTCCTTGTTTACACACAGCAGTAACTGTTGCCTGCAAGAATGTGTGTACTGGGAATACTGTTTACTGTTGTTGCTACTGCCTAGGAACTCCTGTAGGTGCAGCAGAGCAGATCAAAATATTGCTTTTGTTTCTGAAATTCACTTAGAACCAAAGGGTTATCCTTGTACAGTTTAGCAGATAAAAGAATGCTTGATTATTTTTTTTTTCACAAGATTTTAAGTAGATGAGGTCTTGGGACTTAAACTGGTAGCAGTTGTGGATTTGGGACTTTTTGTATACTTTTTCTTCCACATAAAAATGCTTAGTGCTTTTTTCAGGCATTTAACTAATCTGCTTTGAAGACGTGGTTAGAAGGAAGGTAAAACTGTTCTAGAAATATTCATGCCTTTGACTATTGAGGATTGCCTGCAATTCAGTGCTACAATTGCAATCACTGAATGCATCCTTGAAAAACCTCTGCTCTGGAAAACTAATTTACTGTTATTTTTTTTCACCTAGTACATATTGGAGTACATCCAGCAATTCAGCCTGGGGCCAGATTAAATGAGTAGGTCTATTCCCCTTGATACCAACAAAACAGGATTGCCTCAAACCTCAGGTTTAGGTCTTGGTGACAGGGACTGCAGGAAGGCTCTAGGTATGTGCAAGATGTTACAGTTTGCTGAAATTCTTGTTCTTAGCATCCAATTTGCTTTTGCTGAAATTCTTGTTGTTAGCATCCAATTTGCTTTAAAGAGTGCCCTACTCTCATCCTCGAGGCTGGTACTGTGGAGCCTGGGATTTTGTCTTCTACAAAAAGGCAAATGGTGGAGGTCAGGCCCTGTGGTAACCTCTGCTGGGCTCTGGGCTACCTACCAGGCAGTGAGGTGAGGGGGAGAGTGCTCCTTTGTGCTTTTAGGGGGCTGTTTCCATTGGCTCTTACAAATCCCTTTGTGTGATTAGTTACATGCTTCATTGCTTGAAATTTAGCCATAAAGCATTAAAAAGAAAATATTTCTAGACTATCTCCTACTAGAGAAATTACTTAGCAATGTAGCTAGAGGAAAAAGGGGCTAAACCATTAGTGATGTCATACATGTTTTATGAGGATAGTCTAGAAAATGTTTATCGTGGAGCAAACCTGCTCCTGCAAAAGTAATGTAGCAAACCAGCTAGTGTATAGTCCTAAAATAAACCCAAGTGTTTGTGCTTTTCCCCACCCACTGGTGAAATCCAGGTCATCTTTTGAAAGAGTCACTGTGGCACTGTGTCATCCAAGTGTTACTCCTGGACACACAATTGTGTGTGTGTTGTAACTGCACCTGCACGTGGGTGATGATTGTTTTGGGGCACACATCTGAAAGTGAGAAGGGTAGTATTTCCCATTTCATGTTAGGTTTGCTTGGTTTAACGTGCTATGAACATCCTACAGTGGAAAAGGATAATGTTAGACTACTTAGAGGTTTGTTTGGGGTTTTCGGTTGTGTTTTTTAAATGCAAATCATGAATTTAACTGCATAATCCTGGAATTTATTTCTTGTCAGTGTAAGCAACCTAACCATACTTAGAACCATTTAGGCTGGAAAAGGTCTTATAGATCAAGTCCTGCCATTCCCCAGCACTGCCAAGGCCACCACGAAACCATGTCCCTAAGCATCACATCCACAGGGCTGGTGACTCCACCACTGCCCTGGGCAAGCACACAGAATATTGCAGGGAAAGGCATGAATCTGACAAAAATACCTCCCCCCTCCACACCAGAGCTAAGAAGGATGAGAAAACAAAAGGGTATAAAGCCCAAACATGCAGAAGGATGTGAGATATCTCAAAACCCACAGCTGCTTCAGGCCTGATTCTCTGAGATGCCAAGCACTTGGCACAGATGACATTCAGGAAAGCAAGGTGTTAGTCTGTATTCTTACCAGAACATTCAGAGTTTTGTGTTCTGAGGTTATAAGCATCCTGGAACCATGAGGTTATAGAGCTATAAATCCTTACCATACAACCCCTGGAAATCCACTCTCTTCCATCATTTTAACTGTCACACAGGTGACTGAAGTACCTGCTGGAAATGACAGGTCTCAGTCAACTGCTGTGGCTCCCAGGACCTTTTCATCCAGCAAAACATGAGCAACTGGATCCATCTAATCACTTAGTGTGAGCATGTAGGTATAAATGAACCTAATAACAAGACAAAAATCCTGTCCTCCCTCATGTAATGACCTAAAAGCTGGTGGACAGCTGACCGAAAAGGACTGTACCTTGTCTAAATGAGGGAGTTTCTCTCAGCAAGCCTGAGAGGCCTTCAACTCTGAAGAGCTGCTGAAACAGAATCAAGTGACAGTTTCATGCTCCACCATGCTGAGACATTGCAATTTTATTACAATTAATTTCAGTCTCAATTTTCTGCAGTATTAAGTGTGCATATTTCTTCAGGCAAAAAGCCCTCACATTTCAAAGTGACTGCAGAAAAGTTTGTGCTGAACTGTGACAGTGTACACACAGCAAAATGTTTCATGATTAATTCATCCAGTACAACCATGGGAAGCTGCAAGAGTTTAACAACTCACTGCACCTTGAAATGAGCTGAATTGGCAGCAATTCAATTTGGTCTTCAATATATTTAAAAGAAACTCCAGATTTAAGTCAATCTAAATTCTCAGCAATGTGTATATCACATACTTCCAAGGAAAAAAGTGATTCTACCCATTTGAACATAGTCAAAAGCAGTCACACAAGTTCTGTGTCTTTAATGTGATATTCTGGGCATTATGACTCTTAAGTAACTGAGGTTAAGCACCAATGTAAATACTAGCAAAAAAAATTTATTTTCTTCCCTAAAACTTACACCTTGAGTTGAAATACAACTTTGTCACTCATTTCTCCAGGACTCCTAAATTATATGTGAGTATTCAGACCTCCAATATGTAGTTGGGGTTTGGGTTTTTTGCAACTTCTTTGTAATTAGTGAGGGAGATCACTGTTTTTATAAGGAAAAAATATTAATTTCACACTTAGCCTTTATTAAAGGACTGAAAGACAATGTTTTGGTTGCTGTACCGGAATGTGAAACTCTTTCTGTTGGATGCTCCTATGCAGATTCCAGGTCAGACATCTCAAATGCCCAAGCTGGGATAGAATTGAATAGTGTGAGTAGGTGTGACTTAGCTGAAGTGTTTGTAGCACTGTGGTTTTCCCACAATGGAAAAAGTTTTAGTACATAGAAGTAAGGACATGTTGATGCTCTTGAGGTTTCACTCAGTTGACCAGCCAGCAGAGGAGACACAAGTTCACTGGCCAAAGAATCCAAATTGTGGTTTAGTTAATCTGGCAATTACAGAAAGATATTTTAATTCTGCTAGGCTGACATGCATGTATGTGTTCTGCAGCTGGTAAAACATCATTACAACATTCAAAATGTTTTCATTGTCTTAAAAATAATGCAAAACCCCCCTTACAAATCTATACAAAGCTATAGAAACATTAAATCCTTAGACGACAACAGACCAGTAGCAAGGCAAGTAAAGTGTTCATGTGCTTAATCTTAGAGCCTGAACTTTATTTCCATTAATCCCAAGTATTTATTTTTGAGAGGGTAAAGAGAAAGGAAAATTGTTTGGGACA